TATCATACTACGGTTATTTTATAATATCATACTACAGTGACTTTTGACTATCATACTTCAGTTATTTTATACTATCATACTTCAGTTATTTTATACTATCGTTCTACAGTTATTTTATACTATCACACTACAGTTATTTTATACTATCATACTACAGTTATTTTATACTATCATACTACGGTTATTCTATAATATCATACTACAGTGACTTTTGACTATCATACTTCAGTTATTTTATACTATCATACTTCAGTTATTTTATACTATCATACTACAGTTATTTTATACTATCATACTACAGTTATTTTATACTATCATACTATAGTTATCTTATACTATCATACTACAGTTATTTTATACTATCGTTCTACAGTTATTTTATACTATCACACTACAGTTATTTTATACTATCATACTATAGTTATCCTTATACTATCATACTACAGTTATTTTATACTATCATACTACAGTTATTTTATACTATCAAACTACAGTTATTTTATACTATCATACTACAGTTATTTTATACTATCATACTTCAGTTATTTTATACTATCGTTCTACAGTTATTTTATACTATCTTACTACAATTATTTTATACAATCATACTACAGTTATTTGATATTATCATACTATACTAACTTTTAACTACTATACTACAGCAAGTTTTAATTAATATAAGTAATTTTAGGAATACCTGTATTTCAAAAAAGTGCATAATATTACCCTTCCATGGTTTATAATGACGTTTATATATTTGATCAAACGTAATAGCAAGTTACACTACATTGTTTTCCATTTTATATGCATAATAAATATGTATATATTTATTACCGAATGGAGAATCATTAGTTTAGAGATATAGTTTCTGTGACATCCTATACTTGCAGCTTTCTATGTATCTTGTATCTTTGTCCAGTTAACTCTGCCCATAGTTTTAGAGCTAGCTGGACCAAACTTGGCAGTCAGACCCAGAGTGGTGCGAGGGTGTCCTTATTTCTGTGGCATAATTAGGGTCTAATACTAGGTTTTCAAGGTTGCTGAACCATTCACCTTCTCGTTAACCAGGGAATACCACGTTTGAAAATTGTTCATGTCCTATAAGCTAGCAGGACCAAACTTGGCAGTCAGACCCAGGGTGGTGCGAGGGTGTCCTTATTTCTGTGCCATAATGAGGGTCTAATATTAGATTTTCAAGGTTGCTGAACCATTCACCTTCTCGTGAACCAGGGAATACCACGTTTGAAAATTGTTCATGTCCTATAAGCTAGCAGGACTAAGATTAACACTCGTGATCGGAAAACAAGGGAGGGTGTTCTAACGTTTTTTTAGGGGGGGGGGTACAAACCCTTCTCGGGGTAACTTAGGAATAACTGAGAATAATGAAGGAATTTGATCGATACATTGGAGCTTCTGTGATTCATCACGGGGTTCCGTTGAACCCCCACAGCGTAGTGTGGGTAATTTATGCTAGTATCATTAGAAGTACGGCAAATAGCTGAGAAAATACAGAAAACAACATTGTTATATGTAAGAGTTGATCTCTAAGTGTTTGACGGCTCACAGTATGTTGTCTGTTTCTTTAATTCACCACTTTTAAAATAATCCGAATGCATTTTCTCTTGAAGTAAGTTTCAAAGTACTCATGTGTATCTTTACGTGATAACTGTGAGTTTAGTGCTCGTAAACCAAAACCAACTATGCGTGAATGAATAAAATAATAATAATAAGAAAAACTAACAGTTTATTAAGTATGGAAAATACACAATGGTTTACGACAATTCATTAAAAAACAACAACAACAACAAATAACTTAAGACGTCTCGTACTGCTTTACGACAACTTACTGAATACAACATTCATGGAATTGTGGTACAATAAAATTAGAATGATGTACTTAATTAAAGATTTGCTGAAATTATTTTTTGTCATAATGTGTGTATATGTATTTGTACAAACATATGCTAATGAACTTTTCCATGGTTTCAGTCTCTAACCCTAATTCAAAATTGTCTGTACTTAATTTTCAGAAATCAACAAAGGTTCTTTTTCCTAAGTTCGTACAGAACAGAAACATCCTTCCTTGAGTTTGATAAACAATGCTTTCAGAAACATCATTATACGAAACCAACATCATTGTGAAGAATCTTGATATTGAGGCAGCTGTACGTTCAGTTTCTTACCTCTTATTTTTTGGTTCTTGTTTTTTTGCATAAAAATTGCTTTTGGTTTATTTTATTTTGGAGAATTATAGCTTCAAGGAGCGTGTGATTCCGATATGAGGCGTTCACCGCAATTTTGAAATATTTAATTATATGCCCTCTAGTGGCTTAGTAGTAGGCTCGAAGACTTATATATAACGCTAAAAACTGGGTTTCGATACCCTTTGTGAGCACAGTTCAGATAGTCCATTGTGCAGCTTTGAGCTTAACAAGAAACAAGCAAAGAAACAAATTAATTATAAAGACAGTCTTCACATCATGTTTACGAGGCTTAGCGCAGTCCATGTTAGTACTTCATGTGCCTCATAATAATTACGGTGAGGAGCAAGGAGGATCGTTACCAAGAAGTTATGAAACAATTTATTATACTACACACCACGTCACTGTATAATAACCTTTCATACTCATCGTTCAGTTTGTTGTCTTTTTTATGTATCTACAATACAAACATCACAACTTTTGGTATTTTAGGCACTATTTTTCTTCTGTTCGGAGTGGTGTCTAGCTTTGAAGGAGCTAATACTAAACAGGGTTTTATGATCAAGTGATATTTCATTTTAGTACAATTCAGACATGATTTGTAGCTTTAAAAGGGCTGCAATACCGATGAGAAACATATCTCTCCCCAAAATTGAATTTACTATGATGAATTATCTCTATTATGGATATTTATACATTATGAAATTTCAGCACTCAAATGTATATATATTTTAATTTTAAAAAAAAGCTTCAGAGGATGGGAAGTGGGCGGGCTACTAATAAAAACCTCAGAAGGTCATTATAATGTAAACCTATCTATTCTTGCAAGTATATGACTTGTAGCTTTACATACAACCGGCAAGCACAATATTTTCAAATCACCGTAATTTAATAAAGAACCAAGAAATGGATTATCGCAACTTAAGCCTTATCTCCTTATTATAAACATGGGTGCTTTAAGTATCCATAGTTTTTGTATTGAGTCACATTTTGGCGTAGCGTCTAATGATAATGAAATTAATAATTAGATTACTTTTTCCATACATCGGAGATATATTACTTAAACAATCAAGAGAAGAATAAATAAATAAATATTATACCTGTGTTATACCTGTGATTGATGTCTTGTTAATTGGAGTGCTATAGTAGTGCGTTATAGTTATATGAAAATCAACATCGTACTATTTTTTATCTCTGAAGTATCGATATAAAGTTTTTCTTATCACGAAGTTTATCACATCCAAGTATATTTTCCGCGTTTGAGAAACCCGAGCTTTAAAACAGAGCGGGAGCTTTCGTGTGTGAAAAGACTAATTTTCCCACTCGTGTGATAAGCTTGCTGCAAACAGTTATAGACTTTCTTACTAAAACATACAATAAAGAAAAATGGAGATAAACGAAATTTCGGACATGTAACAAGAAGTGGAAATATGTAGATATTTACTGACAGCTTATGTCTAAAGTAAACTGTCAAGATATATATCTTATGTTTTAAGCACGTTGTCAATATGTAAAGCTTTTTGTTATAAGTCAGCTGTCAATACGTATAGCTCATGTCGTAAGTAAACTGTCAGTACTTACAGCTTATGTTTTAAGTCAACTGTAAATATACAGCTTTAGTTTCAAGTAAACTGATAATATTTACAGCTTATGTTTTAAGCACGCTGACAATATGTAAAGCTTTAGTTTCAAGTAAACTGTCAATATTTACAGCTTATGTTTTAAGCACGCTGCTAATATGTAAAGTTTTAGTTTCAAGTAAACTGTCAATATATATAGCCCATGTCTTAAGTCAACCGTCAGTACTTACAGCTTATGTTTTAAGTCAACCATCAGTACTTACAGCTTATGTTTTAAGTCAACCGTCAGTACTTTCAGCTTATGCTTTAAGTCAACCATCAGTACTTACAGCTTGTGTCGTAAGCAATCTGTCAATACTTACAGCTTATGTCTCAATAGGCGTACGATGATTCTAAGAAACAGCCCCAAAATTTAGATAACCCTTCCTATGACAATAGAAATGATAACTTGTAAATATCAAAAGAAAGAAGTCTTATGAATCAAAAACAAAAACATATCAGAAAATCTTACATGTTTTAATATGATTGCAGCATTTCCTTCTTTGTGCATATCTTTTATGAGGTTCTTGTAGGCCACTTGCCAATCATACGATCAAATCTCCAGCGTCATATCTCATCTCATACTCTACTTCTTCCTCGATCTCAGACTTTTATTGCAGTTCTGCCTCTTTGTGTAATACGTTACCCACCTACAGTGAGATTACACGAACAAACCAAATCTGATCGTCATGCTCATTGGAAGAAACATATCCTACTTCCATATTCAACTTTCATTTGTTCTTTAAGCTTCCATGATGTATTTGTAGCATATTCATGACCTCCTAACCTGTTTACAAGCTGGACATATCTGTCTCTGATCTCATCCAGTTTCTACTCCTTCTAAACTTATTCAACTCTTCCTGGAGATGTCTTTTTTTTTGTAAACTGTCGATTCTTTCCCTCTATTTTCCTTTACAATGGCCGCTCAGACATTCTTGCCAGACAGATAATGGCCATAACATGATCTGTGGTATGAATCGCATGCAAACAAATTAGGATAGGGCATCATCCTGGGTTCATTGTCTCATCTCTGTGCCTTTCTGCAGTTTTCAAAACATTTTGCCCAGTAGAATCATCGAACCTGTACAAATAGTATTGAGTTTTCCACTTCTATGATAATCTTTTCCACAAATAAAACAGTTTTTCTTGTGAAGTTTTATGAATATTAAGTACTTTGACTCAACGAGGCATTTGTTGATGGCCATATAGAGGCAGAATCTTCTTCAATGTATATTCTGCCCTGAAATTATTGTGATAACTGACATTTATTTTTAATTTCACAATATCACCTGCCTCCAAACAAATTTGGCAAAGAATATCATCTTTTGCTCCACCAAATTCAAATATTGACCGAAACTTATCTGGAGATGGATTCCTTACAATCTGTCTAAATTTCTTGTCTCTTAAACAATTGAAAGTGAATAAACTATCAGTTATATCAGAAAGGCGAGGCTTCTTTTCCCTAGTCTCCATCCTTCTGATGCTGGTGATCTGAAATGACGATACGTATGCATGACTATACTTATATATCACCTGAAGATTACCGAATGCTTGAATAATTTACTTTTACTTAACTTGCAGATTCTTTATGTGTATCGATACATTTAAATCAAATGCATGAATGTGTCAAACATCCTATTAAGAAGAAGAAGAAACATATAAAAATACTTATCAAATCGGCCCAGCATGGCCAGGTGGTTAGGGCGCTCGACTCTCAATCTGCGGGTCACGGGTTTGAATCCCTGTCCCACCAAACATGCTTGCCCTTTCAGCCGTTGGGGCGTTATAAGTCACGATCAATCCCACTATTCGTTTGTAAAAGAGTAGCCCAAGAGTTTGCGGTGGGTGGTGATGACTCACAGATAGCTCACTATGTAACTTTGCGCTTAGCACAAAAAACAAACAAATCTAAACACTTTATACCTGCAAGTATCTTATACATTAAATGTTTAATTCTTGTATATATTTTTTCTATTAATAATGTAAAAAAGAGTGATGGGGTTGCAGTGATATACTAACTCTATTTTTCTTTGTATAATAAAATAAATGTAATAAAAATAAGAGATCATTCACCGAAGTAACACATAGATTGACGTTTAGTCACTATTATATACGTTCGGAGCTAAAGGTCAAATGTGAAGATCTCATATTTATGTAACGTAAGTCAAGATGCATATGGTGAGGTTCATTGACCTCTGTTGAATGTCGCGTGGGTTTTATTATCATCAATGATATAATCGATCTTTCTACGCCCACTTTTAACAACTTTATTAATTCAGTGGTTTATTTGTTTATTTTATTGAAATTCAACACAATTTAATCAAAGTTGCAATTAGTTATTAAATACATCTTACGTTTTACTGTTTTTCATTAGTGTTCTTGTATTGTAGGTATACTGAAGCTATTCAAAGAATATATTTTACAGATGGTCAAATAAATATTTATCCGAAAGAGTATTTTCCATCAAATCCGAACGCTTTTTAAGCATTCCATTAGTTTTCAGTACACTGTACATACAGATTTTCCTTCCTTTTCAGCATTGAAATAACCTGAGTTACGTTTCAAACACGTAAAAAAATAAAGATAAAATAAAAAAGGGGGGCTAACTCAAGTAAAGTTTCTTTTCGTTTTGCATCGTACAAACGTATTATCAATCTGTGTTATATATTGTTTCCTGTCATTTTACATCATAGATACGTATTTTCAATATTTGTTTAATATTTTTTTCATTCATATGTGTTTGCAATCTGTGTTAATTATTGTTTCCTGTCATCCTACATCATAGATACATATTTTCAATCTATATTAAATATTATTTCTTTTCATCATACATCATAGATACGTGTTTTCAATCTGTGTTAAATATTATTTCTTTTCATCCTACATCAGAGCTATGTATTTTCAATCTGTGTTAAGTATTTTTGTATTCGTGTAGGACAAATGATTATCCTGATGTAATGGCTAGCGTGAACCTGAAACAAAACCGAAAGCCTGCAGAGCTAGTTTTCCGGGATGTGTGTGTCTTCTCGGGAGAGAAGGAAATCCTGTGTAATGTAAGCGGAAAAGTCCGTCCAGGAGAGTTACTATCTGTGATGGGACCAAGCGGTAAGCACACTTTAGCGCCACATTGTGACGCACACGGAATAAATCATAAAAATGTCTGATAACCAAAATGTATCCTGCCCTTCGTTTGTATTTAACGGAAATTATGTTCAATATTTTTTTTCTCATTCTTTATAAACGTAACTTTTATCCAATATAAATATCTTTCTGGTGTCCAGTACTTATCAGTTTAAGGTTTATAATAAAATATATCAAACAGAATGAATATGCATTTCTTAAAAAACAAAAGATGGTTTTAAGAAAAACAATGTTAGCAGCAAATGCCATAAAATATTAATGTATTTTTAAACAGTCACCTCTCAATATTAAGTTATTTATGGTAACGTGGTGGCGATCGTTGTCATGATTACTATCCTTATACGACCGTTTAAGTTGAAGTACTAATTAGTTACTGTTCATTATTCATTTGATACTAATTACTAAGTAGCTGATAATCTCATGTATCCTTCAAGCGCGTGATGACAAGGGTTTGGGTTTGTTTTGAATTTCGCGCAAAGCTACACGAGGGCTATCTGCGCTACCGTCCCTAATTTAGCAGTGTAAGACTAGAGGGAAGGCAGCTAGTCATCACCACCCACCGCCAACACTTGGACTACTGTTTTACCAACGAATAGTGGGATTGACGGTCACATTATAACGCCCCCACGGTTGAAAGGGCGAGCATGTTTGGTGTGATGGGGATTCGAACCCGCGACCCTCAGATTGCGAGTTGAGCGCCCTAACCACCTGCCATGCCGGGCCACCGTGATGACAAGAACCGTATACGATGGCGGATGGTACTTCTGTTTAGAGAGACAAGTGTGATATCCACACGTTTGGGTTCTCACCTCATTGATATATTTTTTATTGCATGATTGTATGGACTGTACTAACCACAATAGCAAACTCAGTAAACTTTGCGTTCCCCAAGTAAAATAAATACAAGCACACAGCATTTTATTTTAGTTTATCTATAAGGAATAAAACAAATTTTTGTTTTGAGCAATCTTGATTATTCGATGATTTAATTATTTCGCATTTTTACTCACAACATACACAGTTTCAGAAATACTGCACGAAACAATTGCTTGTTACTCTATACTTTGCTGTTACTAAAGCTCCCCAATAAAAATATAATTCACACACAAAAAATATGTAAAACAATACAACAGTCAATCTCAATTGCTACTGCTCGAGTGCCTTATATATTTTGCATAGAAAATGAGTGATTGTTTTGGTTAGTTCGTTATGTAAAATGATGCAATATATGGATCTTACCGGAAATGAACAGTATAAAAACAAGTCAGTATATTTGAGAGATAATACTTTTAATTTTTAAAATTAAACGTTTAGCGAAACATACACACACAGAGGACAAGTACGAGTTTATATTAATTGTATTCAGATAGAAACTTGGTTACGTGAGAATATTTCTATTAAACTATAACTCTGTTTGTGCAAGTGACACACACACACACACGAAAGATTAGAATAAGTAAATTAGTACATGAATTTCCGTTTATTCGTATCAGGGTTACTTAGGAAAAGCTCTTTTACACCAACAGGGAGGTGCCGCCTCTGGCACCTTAGTTCCTAGTGTCTGTTTCACGAGCTACAGATTTACTTCAGATAAGACGTGACAAAAAGTCGTTTCTATAGACCTTTGCGTTTTACATACATATAACAGTCATTAGAAGTCGGATTAAAAACATGTTATGGAACACGTTAGTCAACCTTGAAATACGTTACAAATTTATTAACCTTAACGGTGAATAGCAACAAAATTAGCTTAATTTTCTTCTTAAAACTAGGTTCATTTAACCAAATTTAAATATTTAACATTACTTTCAAAAATTGTGTATAACTTTTGAGCATATTAATTTCTTGCCCGGCATGGCCAGGTGGTTAGGGCGATCAACTCGCAATCTGAGGGTCGCGGGTTCGAATCCCCCATCCCACCAAACATCTCGCCTTTTCAGCCGTGGGGCGTTATAACGTGACGGTTAATCCCACTATTCGTTGGTAAAAGAGTAGCCCAAGAGTTGGCGGTGGGTGGTGATGACTAGCTGCCTTCCCTCTAGTCTTAAACTGCTAAATTAGGGACGGCTAGCGCAGATAGCCCTCGTGTGGCTTTGCGCGAAATTCAAAACAAACAAACAACTAATTTTATAAACTTCCTTTACCTTTTGAATATACTATTTTCCTGAAGTGTTTTTTTTTTTTACTTTGTTATACTCTATATTTCATGTATCATTTAAAGCTCTTGTTGAAAGTCTTCTGATTGTAATTTAATTTGCCATCACAGGATCAGGTAAAACCACACTACTGAACACGTTGAGTGGGCGACAAAAGATCAATTCCGGTCTCATCACTGTAAACGGTGAGCCTATACGAAAACAGCAAAGAAGAAATATTTGTTATGTTTTACAAGAAGACGTGTTCTTCGCAAATCTGACTGTTCGACAGGTTTTGACGGTAAGTTTGGAAATTTATGCTGATAATCAAATGTTCAAAGATTTTTATGTTTTTTAGCCATAGAACGATAATATATAAATATATATATATATACGAGTTTTAGTTTTGCAGAAAAACTCTTGTTGCGACAATATATGATTCTGTAAGATGTGATTATAGCTCCTGTAATTATTTCATGGACCAGTTTCTCTATTTTCTCATAAAGTTTCGTAGGCCTTCTTACACGCAAGTGTAACACGGAATAATAAAGAGCTAAGACTCAACTCTCTCATGAATGCAACGGGATTAAGACTAGATCAGTGGCGCCAATATCTTGATGATCAACGTGTGTATATTTAACCGAAATGGTATTTTTACTCACCGATTGAAGGCACTGTTTTAAGTTATTCAGCAATTTGAATTTTGACTCATCATCGTGATTGTTTTTATTTTTACAAAAGGAGGACAAAGAAGAAACTTAAAAACGTAGTTATTCTTTGGAGGAAAATATTAAAATTAAGTATTTTTAGATTAATAAAAAAATTGTTATTTAAATACACGTAAAGACTGATTTTTAGAGCAAATTAATTATTGTTTCTTTACACTGAAAAGGGGATACTCATTCAGACTCAACTTCAGTTCTGCCATTTTGTTTCTCCGCCGAAATCACAACCTCACCGTCTAGTCGTTGCTTCAGTAAAACATTTATTTCTGCATAAAATAAATACTTTGTCTTCAACATTTTATGATTCTACTCAGTCACTTAACGAATCCGATTTACTGTTTTTTACTTCCGTAATATAGACTTTATTATATGTTGCTATGTTTATGTTAAGGTATTTTCCTAACACTAACACGTGTAATGGATGCTAACAAAAACAGAAGTACACCATCATAACTGGGTAGCAATGTTTTTTTTAAGTGATATTATAAGGATGATTAGGTACTATCAATGAGGATATCTTAGTGGTACCTTACTCTTTTTTAGTCAGCGAGTGTAACTCCGACCAATTCTTCCTCCTTCTATATTTATATGTACATTTCAAAGAAAGAATTAAGTTCGCTGGAAAACTTTTTGTAGTAGTTTTAATCGTTCATAGTTTAAGGAAAGAAAAATGGTGAATCGAATACTTGCTCAGGGTAGTTGTCATAGCAATAGAATTAAATATTAACAGCGGAAGATAAATTGTGAAATTAAGAAAATGACAAATAATGACTTTATAAAGCATAATATACTTATGAAAGCTGACGGTATTGTATCACGCTGGTCTAAATTGCTGAATATGGTCTTTTAAGTACGATATTATTGTTTTGTTTCATCTTTAACTAACATCAACTTAAGTTATAAGTATTTGTTTGTTTATTGAATTTGACCCAAAGCTACTACTGGGGGACTATCTATACTAGACATCCTTAATTTTCAAGTGATAAACTAGAGGAAGTCAACACCACTCCCAACAACTTTTGGGCTCCTCTTTACCAACGAATTAGTGGGATTGATCGTAACGTTATAATGTCCCCACGACTAAAAAGGCGAGTATGTTCGGTGAAGGGATTGCGAGTCGTGTTCTATAACCATGAGGCCATCTCATGCTCAAAATTACAAATTGTTTGTTTGTTTTTAATTATGCACAAAGCTACACAAGGCCTCTGCCCACCACGGGTATCGAAACCCGGTTTCTAGCGTTGTAAGTCCGCAGACATACCGCTGTGCCAGTTGGGGGCCCAAAATTACAAATAACAGAACGTTTTGTTCCACAAACTCATACTGAAGTACCTCTAATGTGATGAGATTGTTCTCCTTAATAAGAAAGACTATGTAAAAAACTCTAATGTAAATATTAAAATCAGCTTAATATAAAGAGAAATTTCTTTTACCTTCAATAATATGTCATATATGTACTAATTTAGCTTACCATTTCTTTTTTCGTTCTTTTTTTTAAACATTTTGGTGCCTCTGTTTGCTTTACTATATGTGTAGCGTTTTTGAATTTCTTTTTTTTTTTGGGGGGGGGTTGAGTTTTTATAATCAGTTATCGAGAGTGGTTGTTGTAGTTTTAAAATTAGCCATCTTTGTAATTCTGTTCACAGTTCAAATTTCTTTTTAAAACCATGGATAATCGTTTTGTGCCCTATGATTTATTTTAGAGGTTGTTAAAAGTCTTATTTAATATTGTCTTTATTTGTAATCATATGATACAATTTAAACAATTTCGATTCGAACTGCCTTGCTAGTTTGTTTATAGTTAAAAACAAACTACACAAAACTGTTCTTATGTTAAAGGGATTCACATAGAAAGCTATGAAATACACCTATTAATTTTTTCTTTTCCTAAACATGATTTCTCTTTCAGCCATGATGGGGGGGGGGGGCATAATAATGTGACGGTCAATTCACTATTTATTAGAGTTATTGGTAAGTGGTGTTGACTAGCTGATTTTTCTCTAGTTTATCACTTCAAACTTAGGGACGGTTAGCTCATATAGCCCTCGAATAGCTTTTCGCGAAGTTAGAAAACAACAACAAACTTTTTAATTTATATATTTTCCCATTCTTTCTGTAGTATTGTATGTATTTTAAAAAGAAGCACTAATTTCATGAATTAACTTAACAGTCAGCATGTATCTTGTTTTTACTGTATTCAAGTTCCTTTGTTATCCTCGCAATTTACTTTCAGCGTTGAAAGGAAATCGAAATCATTGTCAATATCATATTCAGATCAAGGAATTCCTGTTCTTTGTGTATTACCGTTTGTTTTCGTACAATGGGATTAAAATACATATTCAGATGTAGCGACATCTGTTGGATATTACCTTATATGGCAGCCCATGTAATAATGCAATTGTTACCACTTAAGGTTTGATTTATTCTTAATCATAAAAAAGATTTTGACGTAAGATTGTAAATAATTATAATATCATATTACTTCCCGATTCGGAACAGAAAAAATATATACATGGGAATCCCTTTAATGCTACCGATATATTTTCTCAGTGACAAATTTCATGCATAATTTTAAAACTGTAGTACAATATCCTGGTTCATTACATCTCACATTTAGAATGGTAGCTGTCGTCTTCTTCCCCATTAACATTCTATTTAACGTACAGGTAGTGACTAGACTTGCCCGCAAGCTTTCTGCACGTGCTGCTCAGGTTCTCTGTGGGTCATTATCGCAGGAGGTCATTGTATTGGAGCCCTGACGGTTGGTTGGAAACGTAGGCAGACGCGCGCAATAGCACGTGACGACTGAAACTTACGCAAGGAAATTTGCATAATCTGAGTAAGCAAACCAAGAGGTAAATGACTAAGCTAACCATAAAGTTCTGTTGTAAACAGGTTTAACTTTCTTCATGATTGAAAATGAAGAATCTACAAAATTTTCATCTGTCATTAAAAACAAAATAAAATAAAAGCATCTTAGTGACAAAACTGGAAACAAACAACAAAAAACTACATGGAACATATATCATGCTTTGAATAAAGAATAAAAACCATAATACAAGATTTTGAGTTTATTTTCCATTTTTTCTTCAGGATTTAACAACCTACGAAGAATGATATTTTTGTTCTGTTTTCAAACTACCCTTCAAATAACTGGAAGTTATTTGACTCGCAAAACAAAGGCATATTTAGTGTCCTTTTATGGAAATGTAAGCAGATTTTGACCTACGAATGGACTCGTAAAGATCGGATGCAAAGGTAGACAGAAGTATGGAGAAGTGTTACGACAGCGGAAGTCACGTGACGCTGGTAACACGTAATGAGTATCTCGAACGTTCCTGAAGGCTCGAATGTTTGCTAGACACACGCTCTTATAGTATATAAGCCGGTAAATAAAGTGACGGGATAGATAATTGCAGACACACAGAGACGGACAATTGAGTCAAGCGCGGTAGTGAATCATTGTGAATTATAGCATGTGTTTAACTTAAAGGGACTGTGGAAATTAAGTGTATTGAGAAAGAATAAACTAGTTTTATTTAAGAAAGGAATTATATCGCTAAAGTTTCATCCGAAATAAATTATACGGGAAATTAACAAACGACCAGAGACGTAACAGAAGCATTCTTTTCAAACAGAACCTTTCAGAAAAATATTTGAAAAAAAAAGTATATATATATATAAGATATACTCCAAACCTTACATACCCTCATTCAACACAAGGTCCGACAACCAACCATCCTAGGGAATGACATAGGAGGTGAGATCCGAACACAGTACACAACTTTGTCATTTCCCAGAGTGCCCTAAGGGCGCATGCCAAGTTTAATTGAGAACAGTCAAAAAAAAGTGAAGGCGTGAAAGGCTGAAAGGCGGACACACAGATAGATAGCCCCCTTGGAAGTGACATGGCGGAGTCAGATCCGAAATCCAACTTCCTTATGACACTCCTCGTGAGGCCTTAACAGTGGATGCCAATTTTTGTTGAAATCAGTCTAAAATGGTAGACGTGATAAGTGGACACAGAAGCGAAACATATGCTTTGTATACACACATATATATATAGATATTATTTATGAAAAACAAAATGTATCTCATATTATCCAATAAAAAAGTTATTCAGATAGTAGACAAGCTGCCTTGGGCTTTTAGCTTACAAGTAAGTAGTAACATCATGCAGGTATTTTTAATAAACCTTTGTTATAACGTTTAAATGGTTCTTCAATCGTTCTTCGTTGCTTGAAAGTGAAGAACACATAAACGGTTAAATCATGGAAAATAATGGCGTCATATTAATTGTTTTAAAAGTTTAGCTTACCGAAGTAAGATTTGTGCTTAAAAAAGAGCATAATAACTCGAGCAAAATATGCCATGAGAATATAGAACACACAAAAAAATTACTGATTTGAAGATGTACGCACACGGCCTGGCATGTCGCGGGTTCGAATCCCCGACCCACCAAACATACTCGCCCTTTCAGTTGTGGGGGCGTTATAATGTGACGGTCAATCCCACCATTTGTTGGTCAAAGAAAACCCAAGAGTTAGCGGTGGGTGGTGATGGCTAGCTACCTTCCCTCTAGTCTTTCGCTGCTAAATTAAGGACGGTTAGCGCATATAGCTCTTGTGTAACTTTGCGCGAAATTCAAACAAATTTACACGTACCTTCAAAATTTTCTGAGTTTGTTGAAATGCTTTTTCATCTCTCTTTTCAAATTAAGATTTAACCTCGATAAGTTTCAGTTTTTAGTCTTTCATTTTTAATATTTTTTGTAAACATTGTTTGTTAAACTTTGCCAAAGCTGCACTGTGTTTTTGTTGAATTTGTAATTGGACTCGTGAAACGCGGCGAATTAAGGTAAAAATGGGCGCAATCATCTTCTCAACGATTGTGAATATTTCGCATTTAGTGTGTGCACACACACCGAAATCGTCTTTGAGTTTACACAGTACTCGAGTTGTTCTGAAGATCTGGCGACCTAGTGATCGCTAGAAGTCATGTTTTGTAATCAATATCCATTTTTTGTTGAGTGAAAAGTACAAAAATCCACTAAATTTACAAACGCTTTGCGTATTCATCGCTCTCTGAAACGCCGTTGGCGTTTATTAATTAAGCCTTTTCTATTTTGTAAGTTGGCAAGTATGTATACAACAAGCGAATTCATGAGCTATTAGCACTCATTACTAAAACTGCTTATGCAAATTTTACACCTTTATAGCCCCTCCCCAATGTCTCAGGGCGTAAATCAGTGGATGTATAACGCTAAAAGTTGGGTTTCGACACCAATATAGTGGACACAGTCATAGGCATACGGAGTTGACCTTCCCAAGGAGGGGCAACTAATTTGCCCGAAAAAAACCTTTTTGTCCGATTTTTTTTGCTCACGAAAAGTAACACAACACAAAAATAGGGAAGATAGCTCGGGGCCTAACTTAAAAAAAAAAGAACTTGTGTCTGAAAATTTATTTCTTGACAAGCTATAACTTAAAGCACGAAATGGCGATATTTTGAAAAAGACTTCATTTATTCCAACGTAATGTCATTACAAAACAAAACACAAGTGCAGTACCCTTACAAAATAAAAGGCTACTTGTGATGCCCTTACAAAACAAAAGTCAAGTTGCAATGTCCTTACATAACAAAAAGGAGCTAGTTATGTCCTTACAAAACAAAAACAAGTTGTAATGTCCTTGACAAAAAAAGGGGAACCATTAGTTCCTCCTTTATTTTGTAATGGCAATCGCTAATTCCGTTTTTTTTTTTTTTGCAAGGACATTGGAACTTGTTTTTGTTTTGTAAGGACATAACTAGCTCCCTCTTTACAAAACAAAGGAGGAACTAGTGGTTCCCTTCTTTACAAAACAAAGGAGGAACTAGTGGTTCCCTTCTTTACAAAACTAAAGAGGAACTAGTGGTTCCCTTCTTTACAAAACAAAAGGCTGAATGAAAAGCTAGCTATCGATTACTCAGAAGAAATACGTTTCTATTCCTTTACGCTTTACGAAAATGTCTATAATCCTTTCCATATCATTAGCAAACACCAAGCATCATAGTTGCGTATGCTCGCTCAATGCATATCAATTCAATGCTATTGAGACTTTTCTGTCCCATAGTGCTGCGAAGGTATGTTAACATCCTCCGGAGGTCACTGAAGGATGTTAACATACCTTCGGAGGCCACTGAAGAATCGCTCGGCCGTGCATGATGTCGCAGGAATCACGGCTAGAATTATGACGATTTGATAGAATACGGGCAATATGTCCATGAGATCGTGCTGGTACATAGTTTCAACTACAGTAGCAGCTGTTGTTGCAGCGATTGTTGGATTATCATTTCTGAAATTTTTGTATATCCCGTGCTCTTCTTCTAGTAAATCATGGTCCAAGCTATAGAACTCGGCGATCTTTCTAAAGCTGATGTCGCCAGGGGTGTCTCTCGGCGCATACTCACAACGGATGACTATTTTTCTACACAAGATCTATTTCAATTCGCAATGACGAATAACTTCAAATTTATTCTAAGAAATATCAACCTTTCATAATATAACTTTCTTTGTGATTTTAAAAGCGTTTCCACCCTGTCTATAGTTTTATGTTAACACTTGAACTTTAATGCAAATCACTTTTGATATTTGATAGATCATAGTCAGATGCACTGATTACTTGACAAGGAATTGAGTTCATGATAAACGTATGTCTTACGTCGTTCAGATTTTCCAGAAAAACTGCCAGTTATATAAGGACTACTAATCAAAAAAGCTAACCTGTGCTATAAACCAAACACGAATTAAAGAAGTTAAATGGAATTTTAACAGCATGTTCAAAAAGATGTTACAATCAGTACTGACCGGTCAGACTTTTTGTCAAGAAGGCTAACAAGATATTTGTTTGTTCTAGCACAAAGTTACACAATGAGCTATCTGCGCTGTGTTCCCTGTGGGGATAAAATCCGAATCTAGTGTCATATCTCTAAAGCTAATTGCCGAGCCGCTGAGGGATAAACAAAACTGATAAAAACGGACTCAAACAGGGGAGTACTTCGAAAGTTACTGTCAAATACCCTGCTTTTTTATATAGCATTCGTGTTTTCTGTAGTGTTGAAAAGGTCGACTTCTTCTAACTTATTAATTACCAAAATGATTTAAACATCTCCAATTAAAATAATAAATCACTAATTTGTTTTTTATAATTTATTTACAGGAAAATGTTAGAAGAAGACACGATATGTCAGATCATGACACGTGATGAAAATGTATTATGTCACCATTTAATATATCTTATGAACAGTTGATTATTAATTATCTCTAATGCTAGTAAGTACGTATATTAACTTTATAGAACTACTTTATCTATTTTAGCTAGAATTGTTTTCCTTTGTAGCACTCCGCCCTACTACGTCTACCAGACGCTATGCCGTATCATGAAAAAATGTTCCATGTAGAACGTATCATAGACGTTCTGGACCTTAGGCAATGTCTAAATAATAGTGAGTACATGTTTCATCAGTATATGTCTCTAATGATATTTGTTCGACTGTTATCTAATAATCTACCTTAATAACTTTGTCTATCTTACATCCACGCATCTACCAGAAGTGGCCAAGACCGACTCACAATAGTTTTTTTTTTTAATTGGTCAATAAAGAAACTTTATTCATGCTTGAGTTATTCCTTTGTTTATTCAATTTGCTTACTAGTGTAAATATCCACAAGATTTAACATTGATTACAAACTTACTTAATTGTGGGTTCTTGTTCCACGTATAGTACAGTTTTCCTTATATTTTAATTGAGTTTAGTTCATCACACAGAAGGTATATACAAGTAACCAACTTTTCTGCGTGAAACTATATTATCATTACATACACATACCAAGACTTCAGTAAACTGAATCATGGAGTTATAACAACCTTCAAAAGTCAAATATAGCAAAATCATTTTCTCGGGTACGAGTAAGTGTTTATGTGTATGGATAACTTGAACCAACAAACATTACAGAATAATTTACACTTGAGATTATATGAAAAGTGAGATGGTCCTATACTAACGAAAGGTGCTCAGATTTGTTCTCATATACATCATATTAATGATTGTAATTCCCCTTACGGCTACAGTCACTGCTGCATTGATATGTTAGTCCATTCTTCTCGGAATTCACGTCTAATATTACAGATTCATGAAAACGACCGCCCAATACCGAGTTATAGTTACTGCAAGCGACATGGTGAGCCTAAGATTGTGTTATAGTTACTGTAAAGTAACTTAAAGAATTCATGCCATATTTGTTGTGTACGTTTGTTTTTCGTAGTGACTCCATTCGATTTACATTCGTGAGAACTGAAAATGTAGATATTTCAGTTGTGAATAACTTGAAACTTGAATTTTAATTTGCAAAGTAGACGTGGATCTGCCTTGTCTCTTTAGCACACTTCTTTGAGTTCCCATCACTTTTTACACCTCACGAGTCTTGAGCCTAGCTCATTGCGAATGGCCATCACGGTGAGACATTACAGAATGATTCGAAATCACGTTCCTTAACGTTATTATCATAACTACTTAAATAAAGACAAAATGACATACAAATACACCACACGATATGGAAACTGAGCGTGACGACTAACGCAGTGAATAAATCAACTTAAGCCAGCTAAACTTTCCGATATATAGACAATGCGTGACGATCGAATTTGCACTACATCACGACTCTTATATTCGTCTTGCTCATTTATGTAAGCTTATATACCCAAAATAATAAAATTGTAACTATAGTTCTACATAATTTGCTAGATGCATTTCCGCAGGGTCCCCGAAAGTGTTTTGTTTCAAGAGTAAATAAAATCAAAATTAAGAGTAACAAATACTTTTATTTCTTGTTTTTGAAGTTCATATGTCACGCTGTGTTGTAACCAGATCTGCTCCCTTATGCGTGTATAAAAAATCTGAGCAATTTATTGATTTTCCAAGATGACACTCAATATAAATCTCTTCCCTTGTAAAGATAGAATTAAATTCCATTTTATAATGATTCTGACTTTTATTTTTAAGTTTACGAATGCTTATTTTATTATTGTTATTATATAAGTATTCTAATTATTTGAATAAGAAAGATGAGAGACTTATGCGAAGTTGAGTATAACAAAATAAAGAAACATTATTCCTTGAGCAGCATGCAGATGCCAACTGTGTTTTCCCATAAGCAAATATTATTCGTGTTACATTGAAAGACATAAACATCATATTCAGTTTGTAAAATACAAAAATTACTTAGTGCTTATTACGAACGTATTTATTTCATATTTTTCTCGATTTTAACAAATTTTTATTTATATTACGTTTAAACAACTATCTGACCACAAAGGGGTAGTTTCACATTAGTTGCGTAGCACATAAATAATTTTAGAACTTAAAAGTTACAAGTAGGTCTAGCAATATTTACAGAAATTACTGACAGACTTAGAACCAATCTTCTCAGAGTTGTGAAAGCGATAAGGGAAGATTACAGTTTTTGTTTATAATATTGGCTAAAAGGTTATAGAATCAAAGTTACGACTATTGACTCACATCAGGCATTGATACAACTTCTTGTAAAACTTACCTAATGCTAAGCCTAATGACTTGAATTCGATTAATATCTATATACATGTGTGTGTCTTTATATATACAGGGTTGAATACGTTATTTTAAAGTGATTTTTGATATGCAACTAATGTCACGTGACAACCACAGCCGATATTGTCATGGTGGAACAGAATGTATCAGAACTAAATTTTGAAATTGTTTGATCACTTTTGGGAAGGGTATATAACAAAATATCCATACACTCAAATCATAAAGATGTGTTCAGATCGGGGATTTAGAATTTCCAAGACGGGCTTATCCATCGTACCTAATGGTATGCGAAAACAATGGAATATGGATCAACTTAGAACACCAGAACCATCCAGAAATAGACCCGAAAGAAGTAGTACTCCAGCCATGGTAAGCAGAGTGCAGCGTATTGTAACAGGTGAGAATCCATAAACACAAATGTCAGTGACAGATGCCATTCACGTGTCCCAGGCACAAGTATGCAACTTGATCAAGAAGGATCTTTGTCTGGAAAAATAACACAAGTCGCTCGTACAGTTGTTGAATACCTCAAGCAACTAGAGAACAAAACTAGTATTCATGCTATTCCATATGAAGACATACCAGTCAAATTGTCCATGGATTTATGAATGATCGGATTATCAAAATGGGCGCTGAGAAACCATTGTCGTTGTACAATAGATGACTTATAGAAAGCATACAGGGTAAGGGTCTGCTTTAGATGTGACAACCTTGCGATGTAACCTTTTGCAATAGAAACTATGCTACTAGATTACTGTCAAGATGCACAGTCGTCAAATAGAACAAAGACTGTAACGATCTGATAAGACTCCAAAACCGTTTTAGTGTAACGTACCCAACCTCTACGACACATTAAGAAAATTCTATGTGTAATTCTAATATATTTTTCTTATAGTTAAATAATATACTTCATTAATCGACTCTAGTCTAACTCAGCATTCGTAACATCAACTTTTTATATTTCAGTAATTGGAGACGGACTCAAGCGAGGGTTGTCGGGAGGAGAAAAGAAACGAACTAGTATTGCTTGTGAGTTGCTTACAAACCCTACTACCATGTTATTGGATGTAAGTATATGACTGTTAAACAACATTGCTGTTAACAACATGCATCGATAACATTTCCTTTCGATGACGCTACCTTCCTATTATCGTGTCTTTTATTCTGGTTTTACATAAAAGAGTACAATGTGTCGTCTGTCGTCTGTGCTTCTTGGATAAATAAGTTTCTTCTCAGATGAAAATGGTTGAAGAACTTCTTTTCAAAATCCAAGAGATTAATGAAGTTATTTTTGTTTAACTGTTCGGCATCTAATGTGATATATATAGTATAAAACAGTGGCATAATTATTTGATATATTTGACTGTTCGAAATGCCACATTTGTAAAATTGTTTTGAAAATTTTCTGCTCACGAATTTGTTTTGATTTTAAGTTTCAATTTTATTTTCTAGAAATAATAGTATGTTACCGTTTATAAACATTGCGTATTGTGTTATAATACTATCATGGCCGTAACTAGCTATATGAGGACAACGAGGTCGTGTCCTCGGTTGTTTTTTGGCTTTCTTCATTCACACACACACACACACACACACGCATATATATAATTAGAAGGTATGGCTTGAAACCAAGTTTGACCTGGGTAAAATATTGACGCTGGTTACAGTGCTGACTGCTGTAACAGAAATATGACCGTTAATGTCTATACAAGTGTAGAAAACCTGCTCTGTGTGTATTAACGGGCTATGAAAAACTCGTCCAACGTTCGCAGAATTTCGCTGGGGCTTCAGTACAAGTCGATTACATTGATTAAAACTTTGAAAGGTGAAATACCAACCTATATAAAAAAATCAATGTTAAGTTCATGAGCAAAGCTGTATACCGAAGCTGAGCATACGTGTCGATATGTTTTATTTAATCTGATAATTCTGTAGTGGCGAAAGAACAAAATTGTTTTCAACAAAATCTGTAATAAACGGCTTGAAGTCACGCAGTAAGAAGTTCATGTTAAAAACTAACACAACCAGATTAGAAAACCTAACCGTGGATTCCTTAAGTGTACTGCATGTGAAACAAACATTGTATATTAAGTAATTAAAAATACTTCAAAGTGATGGTTTTACTTCACATGGAATATGTCGCTGACGTTTTCTGATAATTTTATGAATTTATTTAATAATATTAATTTTTGTGGAGTTTACAATTTGTTTCTTATTTATAACCTTATATTGAATTTTACATCTAAATCTCATTCACTGCGTTTCTGAAAAAGAAAAAAGTACAGAAACTGGAATATGATCGTGGCAAAAGATTTCATAATCTATTCTAATTTTAAAATATGTTGAGAGTTGAAGCAGGCAGGTTCTTACAATGAAGTGAGTCAGTCTTGTCTTGAGTCATCAGCTATCCGTAGAGTTTATAAAATGAAGCAACAATAACATGTGTCACTGAACTTGTTGATTATAGAGAAAAAAATATAAAAAAATAATTACTACACGTATAGGAACCAACGTCGGGCCTTGACTCTGGCGCTGCCGTCTCTCTCATGTCTACCTTAAAGTATTGCGCAGAAAAAGAACACAAAACTGTTGTTGTTACAGTCCACCAGCCGTCCAGCCAGATTTTCCACATGTTTGATCGTCTGCTTTTATTAACTGACGGTCAAGTAAGTTTTATCTCATAAATGTTAAAAACATCAATTTATATTTATGATCTGAGAGAATCAGTAATTTGATAAACTTAAAATTTAATATTTGTTTTAATTTCATTTTTACACCCAATATTCCATCTTTTAAAATTAATATTTTTTTTTACTAATGCGCACAGTTAAGTTCTGTTGACAACTACTTTATTAGGACTTAATAATTTAATTGCATCAGAAGTTTGATCTAGTGAATTTGATCTGAAATTATAAATCACAATTTTAAGTACCAATATGAAATGCAAATTTTTTGAGGTTACATATTTGTGTTATCGAAGAGATACCAAAATATTGTTTTTTTTTTACTATGAGTATACGATTTAAGTTTGAGTAACGTTTCTGTAAAATATCAAAATAGTAACTAATTCGGTAACAGTACAGTATTTGATAAGAAAAGTTCTTGTCAGTGAAATCAAATAGATATATGTAACGTTTTCAGGTCGCTTACTTTGGACCTACTAATGGAGTTTTCGAGTTTTTTAGTAATATTGGTCTGCACATAGCTGCACATTATAATCCTGCGGATTTTATTAGTGAGTATGAGTCTTCATTATTTTCATCACTTATTGAAAAGATTGATAAGATAATAAATCAGGCTAGCGTTAAACCTTCTAGTTGGCTTGATCAGAATCGGCCTGAAGAGAAAAAGGTACTAACGGCCTCAATATTTACTGTATCAGAACATATACTGCAGATGAGCGCATAAAATCATTGAATAAATTTAGTGCGGCGAGTAGCTTAGAAATATTTAATTTCTCTAGTATTTACAGAAATAAGTCCATTCACAATGGTTAAAGTAAAGCTATCTTATCGACTGAGTTGTTGGATTTTTTGTAACGTTGGTTGCTTTATACACTTTATTCTGGCGTTTGACTCAAAAGTTGCGGGTGACGCGTTCGAATCCCGTCACCAAACATGTTCACCCTTTAAGCCGCGGAGACGTTATAATGCGACGTTCAATCTCACTTTTCGTTGGTATAGAGTAACCCAAGAGTTGGCGGTGGGTGGTGTTGACTAGCTGTCTTCCCCATAATCTATTACTTCACAATTAGCGCTGATAGTCCTCGAGTAGTTCTGCGCGAAATTCAATAAACAAACAAACAAAAAACACATTATTAACTTTAGTCATTCATACAACTCTCGTGTTTATGGCTGTTTTCGCCACCTAGTTATTTCCTAGAAACTTGGAAAGGAAAAAGTTTTAGTTTGCACAAGTATAGAACATTCAAATAAAATATTGATAAATAGTTGTATTATACGAAATCATTATTATCTGTGTTAGACATTAAAGAAAATTCCAAAGAAAAACTTTCGTTAGAATTTTTCAAGTGCCAACTTTAAATCTTTGTTGTTTTTTTTCTGTTACATAATTTTATAATTAACGATTTCAAAATTTTATTTTCATTTTTGATTAATTATTGATTTTTCTGAATCTGTTTTATACGACTTGATATAAGTGCGTGGAATTCCAGTTCGAAGCTTTGGGGTTGTGTATTTGTACTACCTTTCATTTTTTATCCTCTTCTTCTTCTTTTTGTTTCTTTGTGCAGTTGGGCAACTCAAGAAAAGCTCAGGAATAAGAGAAAAGCTTATAATAGCCGCCAAGGATCTCAGGTAAACATCTCTAAAGAATTTTCTCAAACACCTATTTCGCAAGACAGATTTTGGCTTTTTATGTTATTTAACTTTACAAAAGTAAGGGAACACAATATCGTCATCTTATATGAAGGAGCCAGGAATATTCGTTTGGTATGTTTTATATCACAATTCCAGTCTGTTTTCTTTGACTTTTTTTAAGAACAAAAAAAAAACATTTTTTTAAAATAAAAGTCATCGTTTAATTTGATCAAATGTGGGAGGCGCTATCACCTACTGATAAGTTCTTAAAAGAGAAAACATATTTTTTAAAACAGTTACAGTGTATTTCTTCGTCATAAGTTTTTTGCTTTATCCAACTTGCATATGCCAATACAATGGCATATCGCCACAGATTCGAGCCATGGGTCCACGATCGGCATGTTTTCCACTAGTACATTTGGTTCATTGCAAATTTCTTATCATTCGACAGTGAAATGCCGCTAGGATAAACTTATGTCTCGCAAGAAATATCACAGCCATTTCTGAGGAAGGCTACACGTATAGCGATATTGTTTAAACACTATAGAGCCAAATGACAGAACATTTGAAGGAGGGATTCTTTTGTGTCCTTCATGGAAACGGAACTTGCACATTTGGTATTTTAGGATGGCAACGGGCTTCGAAACCACAGCTCAAGCAGGAACGTAATTTCGTAAAAGGCTTGGGAAAGGGGCAAAGAAGACTAACTTCACGTGGGCCCCCAATTGAGTTGGGGGTCCTACGCGTATATGTGTTAACCGGCCTAACTAGAAATGCCTCACAGAAACTGCCATTGTGACCCTTCCCCGAAATTGGGGGTGGGTGCTCTTGTTGCCCCCTCAAATGACGCCCCTGAGCTCAAGCCAGTCTGCAATAGTGCTGTCATCTGTAAAGTGAAGACTATCGTTACGAAAAAGAATTCTCCGATATAAAGAAGCCACTATGATGAAGCTAAGTTTATCTTGTGGTGTGAACAATGCGATAATAAACGAGAATTTTATGTTTACAAAGGCTCACAAGTTAGCCACGCCTCGAAACTAGCGGCTATTTTCATGAGAATGATTTTAGTAATCGTATTAATTAAATTGTCATGACCTGTCATACCTGTCATGACCTCTTTTTTTGTCTTTTGTCTGCTTAATTAAATGTCGTCTATGCACAGTGGAGGACTTGTGAACATTTGTTCGAAATGTGTGGTTTAAAACTGACCTCAACATTCTTTGCAGAAGCCTATTATAATGCAAAACGAGATTCATCATTAGTATATAATCAAAGTTATCAAACTGAGCGCGATCAACAGTGAAGAAAGTAGTACCAAGGGCAGCATGGGACTTGGAACATGTTTTTATGAAATACGATAGAGCCATGTACTGGTAAGCTTATTGATGCTCATATACCTGAAAAACAATTTATATCCTTTAATGCTTTATATAAGTTTCCAGTCTCCATTGATGATGACAGAACCTTGTCGAAACGTTGTACATTTGCTGTTATGTTAAACTTATATTAAAGTTTTTGTTCATTACCCATTCAAGCCATCTCCAAACATTATTAGTCTCAAAGTGGGTTCCTCGTCATCGAATTTATGACTTTTTATTTAAGTTTTCCAGTCTCAATTTTACAATAAAGTTACGTTTGATTCTTTATCAAAGTCAGTTTCTGAAGTATCTTTACACTTTGAACACTTTGTTTTTTTTTCAGTGAAGTGAAAGAAGTTGGTATTGACATTGAAAATACTTCTTCAATCTGTGAATTTTCTCATCTGACCAGTCTTTATTCTACAGGTGAGAAGTCACAAACGTGACTAATTTCAGCAAATTTAGATTCTAATTATGAAATTAAATTAATGTTCTACATTTCTGATTGAAATGTTTCAGTTGACAGCAGAAATATTACTGCTAACATATGAATTCTTGTGATGTGGTAATCCTTTTAGTCCATAAATGATTTTGTTGCAATTTGTATAATTATAGAAGCAGAGGACACCGCCGACTCTGGAGTGTCATCTTGGCCTGACCTTCACGACTCTGCATTTGGCAGTGACATTAGTCTTTCCGAGGAAATTGACAAGTGGCCTACATGTTTTTGGACTCAATTAAAAATTCTGTCCCGAAGGAATTTTCAAGAAGCTCATTACCGCATGCTTTCCAGACTTAACTGGATACAGACTGTTGGACTGGGAATTGTGAGTGGACTTCTCTGGTTTCAAGTGGAAAGGACGGAAACTAATCTCTCTGATATTCAAGGCTGGGTGGGTTTTGGTTTCCGTTTTCTTATAACAGGGCAAGATTTGTATTTTATAGTATAATCACAATGTTGTTTATAGGATTTTCAGCGTCAATCATAAAATTTAGCTTTAATTATTAAGAATTTATGATCAAAAACAAGCTAACTAGATCAAAATATAGAAATACTCATACATTAAACAACCTGATTCTACGTATATCTGTATACTAATAAAATTCTGAGATTGTTTGTTTGGTTGTGTGTGTGCTTGTCTGTAATTAAATACAGCAAAAACGGCGCACAATAGTGCCATATTTGTAATGAAATGAGAATAAAAAC